AGAATCAAAGCTGTAATGAGTTATTAATTGATTATCACTTTTATAGTGATCTATTATAAGAATCAAACGGTTTTACTAATTATCGACTAAACCTTAACTAATTAACATACCTTAATTATGTATAAATTTACATAATTTTCAGATCTAATGTCAAGTTATTGCACTTTCTAATAAAGTATTGAATAATTTTTAATTTAAAAAAATGACACTAAATATGGTTCTTACATGAATTTAATTTTACGTAAAATGCTTTTAGAGGTGTAATATTACGCGTAATATGACGTAATATTACACTGTAAAATGCGTAATATTACGCGCCGTGCAACCTTACATTTAATACATATCAAATAAACATACTTTTAATTAAGCATTAACTGTGAGTTTTATTTTTACAGTTATATCATATTTACAGCAATACTGTGTGTATATACAGAATATTCACTGTATATTCATTGTGATAATTTTATGACATGCACTTTATTATCGGTAAAAATTTGATTATATTTGATACGAATCCAAACCCATATGAATCCAATGGACTCTATCACCCAAATAATGAAGTCTTTGCCATTAGTGCCAAACCATAGACCAAACAATCCTCCAATATATGACATATAGTCGGTGAACGACAGCAACGGTTCCTCCCGATAGACAAACATTGGTTGAGTTGAGTCCCAAACCAATGACTTCTCTGTAATCTTGTGATCGGCGCTCAAGTTATGCCAAAATTCAGTACCAATTTGTGTGTCACTCAACACAAGTCTATACTTATAGTCAACTGTCGCACAGTCTTTCGGACAATATTTCAAGCACTTTGTGGTAATATTAGACATTTTTATCTCTTTCTTAATATCATCCGTTCGATCAAAGTAGAAACATTTAGTATCATGCACATTTTCGTAGAAATCTAATTCGTTTAAATCTCTATCTATCAATAAAGGTTCGCAATTAAGCGGCAAATGTTTACGCCGTTTATGATTATAATATCGACGACACCTTCGCATACAATTCACGTGACAGACGGCACCAAAGGGTCGATCGCCGGCACTCGAGCCGTCATATGAACTGCAGTTTCCGTGAGGTTTACGTAGAAATGAAAACAATGTCTTCGTTATAATAATGGTCTGATTATAACCATATGTATTGACACCTATTGAAGAATCGTAAAATGGTGTCGATTGAAACGACATACCTGCTACTTTATCCCGACTAACATGTTCATATATTCTGCCTATAAAATTAATATTATCTGTTAAACCTACTAGTTTAATTGTCCTAATTAGTATGGTTGCACCCCTTTCATGGTAGTAACTATTTATATATGAATAATTGTTTAGGTTAATTAATCCGATCGCCGTATCGATCAATAGGTTTTTAAAATGCTTGTTATGCAAGCTTTTATCAAGGTAGACTTTTGGGGTGGAGTTGAAATAGCATATATCGATCGTATCTTCACACCAATCAAACATATCTCCGTCCGACTGTTGCATACCTAACGTCACGAATGGGTAGTTATTATCGGTTTCGTATGATTTAGAGTCCATTCTTATAGTGAATTCATAGCTGAAGTAATGAAGAGATATGTCGTATAATTGGTGCATAAGTAGTGCCAAAAGTATTGCTTTGTATACGCGCTGCAGATATAATAATAACAGTTCATTAAAATACTAACATTTATTACATTTACAGGTATTCTCAACATATCTGATCTTTCAAAATAAAACCCGGATTATATATAGGCTATGAATTGAAAGATTTTTCATTGAAACCAATGAAAAATTTTCCAATTCATAGCCTATATATAATCCGGGTTTTATTTTGAAAGATCAGATATCTGTGCTTTTAATACAACTTCAAGTTTGTAAAATTATGCTTAAAATCGAAATCATTATATAAAAATCTTACAAACTGAGTTTTATTAACGGAACAGATAATAAAATTCAATAAACACTCAAAAATATAATACATACTTTAAATATATGCTTAATTGTAGTTATGAAATATGTGGATAATATATTGCTGAATTTCTGAATAATAATAGTGTTTTCAATATTATGATTAATATAACTTATAATATCATTTAATATACCAATAAAATTAATACCGTGCCATAAGCTTAATATATTGGCTATACTTATCATTAAACCGATAAATGTAAATGTTTCCGAATAGTTTACTAATATATAAAAGTCACCATTTAAATTAATAGCTTGCTCACTGTTTACTCCTGCTGATTCAATAATTTTAGGCAAAAATATACTTGCCTTACAGGGTGTGCGACATTTAAAGTTACATGATTTCGTAATTCCACTGTTTATATCACTGTTGTTATTAATATTGTAATGCTCACAAAAAGTGATATTTGGTTCAATATAATCATTGAATAACTGAATGGTTAGTAAACTATTATTTTTGGGAATACAATGAAATCGCTTCTCATATGCCTTTCGATAGCATTCATTCAAACAATGAAATTGTGTTTCATTTGCAGAATATTCATAGCATTGCGTGTCATATGGTTTTGGCAAACGCTTGAAATCGTAACGAATTATTAAAGTATTTTTAATTTTATAATTTACGAAATCCTTGTATTGAATGATATCATCGTTTAATAGTGGAAATGAATTTTGTGAGTGCATAATGTAAGTAAGTTTTAAACTTTTAATCTTGGACACCCTTAATTCCGAAACACGAGCATCCATAAAACCAATTGATCCTGATGATATTTTAAGATCGGTTTGATTATAGAAGTATGTGTGACATAATCCAAAGGGTGATATTAATTTAACAACAGGTACTATATTTTTGCAAAAAGTATAATCAAACGAACATAATATAACTGTCATAAATACATCAAGTTCAAATATTGAGATTTTTACTGTATTATTATATAAATGCAGCAAATTTTGCCGATATTCATATTGATTTTCCACTTCTAAATAATTAGCTATATACTTCCTGTAATTTGCCACAATTAATTTTGCTTGTTTATAATCTTGGTCAGTGTGTTTTCTAGCAAGGTTGGATACAGCTTCGAAATCCGGGATACATGTCATATAATATTCATTAATCATGCTTTTAATGTAGGGATCCGTCGATGTAATGTTGTTGGTAGGTTTCCCTAATTGTTTGATGATCTTGGTGTACTTCGTAGAACTAAAACGTGGATCATCATCAGAACATAGGGGGTGAACTAGTACATTTTTGGTCATATATTGTCTAATATTAGGATCAAATAAAATGTTTTCGAAATTGTTTTCATAGCATATAGTTATAGCCGGAAATGATTTCAACGAAAGTTCATTATTATTATCAATGTTTCTGTAATTTATAATTTCAATGGATGTTAATGTGGGATATTGTAGATATTGGTATATTAAAACACAGACTTGGTATATAATAATCGGTAGTGTGAACATTGTCAATATTTTACGCCATTTATATTTTAACATCGTTTTACTAAATATAATTAAGCTTTTAATAACCTTTATAATAAGCAATTTATTTTCAAACCGAGGGTAAACTGTATAAATTAAGAAATATCTTATACGACTTATCACGAGTCTAATGAGAGCACTGGTATCTATAAAAGACATCCCAAACCACAAACCAATGAGTCCTCCGATGCTTGACATGAAGTTAACGAATGAATACTTCTCCTCTGATTTGTAGTGAAATTGTTGCCGTAATTTGTATTCAATTCTGATTTTGCTGTCATTTCTTGCGGTGTATTCATTGTCCTCCAAATCTAACGAATAGTATTTTTGGTGACAATTCATATCACAATCGCAATTAAATTTATCGACAATTTGTTTGATATTGTTGTAAATAATATGATTATTTGTAGTATTATTATCACATATTCTATACTGTGTTTGACTGGCGTTTAAAAGAATAAATTCTGTGTTTATGTAAGGATTTGGTAAACATTTAGAAGTTTCATAAAATGTGTTCAAATATTTTGTCCAACATTTTATGAGAATATACGTGTGTATATAAAATGCAATCATTTTGTTAGATCAACAATAAAAGTATCTCTCTCTCTCTCTCTCTCTCTCATATTCTTGCCTAACGTTAAGTTTTAAGTTAAAAGTAAAAAATAAGTAAAAATATTTTCCCCCAATTTCTTGAAGTATATTCATTGGAGCGCAAGTACAGCGAAAAACATTACATATAATGCATACAAAGCGCTGCCAAACAAAACCATTTTTATTCACTGAACCAAACCATAGGCGCTGAGAGAAAATATATATAAATATTTTTAGTGAACATCTCTTTACGCCGTGAATAAACAAAAGTCTGTTGAAAATCGTATAATAGTCTATAGAAATGCTAGAAATGTGTGGAGATAACAAACCTCTTGTAGTGGGTATAAAGGAGCGAGATTAAAAATTCAATTGACATTCAAATGAGTGAATAAATATTTGACTTTTATTCTAGCGTTTGAATATAATTATTATATAGAAATTAGGCTCTTAATAGTAGTTTTAATATTTTTTGTTTTTTAGGTAGGCATACACACACACACATAATGTTTTTGTGATTTGCATTTAAAATGATTTTATAAAATGTTAAGCCTTTAAACATTAAGAGATATATGGTGTGTATAGTAGTGTGTTATACAGTATACTGTATATAGTATAATGGATCACTTTTTTCTCATATTAAAACTCCCAGAGATTCAAAAGTTTCAAAATGTTTTTTTATATATACTCCACGTCCTAAAGTAAACAAAACTATTAATACAAATGTGTGTTCACTAAAGCAAAGGTAAATTACATACTAGTGTCTCATATAGTACAGTAAATATATATATATTATATATACAGTATAGAGTGTATAAGTTTTATAGCTTAGTTGTTAAGTGTATTAAANCTAGTGTCTCATATAGTACAGTAAATATATATATATTATATATACAGTATAGAGTGTATAAGTTTTATAGCTTAGTTGTTAAGTGTATTAAATTGGTATCACTAAAAGCACCCGTGTCCATTAGTCTACCACATCTCGCACTTGACGCCTGGATTCATGGCACTGCCTACTGGACAGTCAAACGCTTGGGAAAAGTCAGCAAAGTTGGAGAGAGCGCCGTTCACTCTGTACTTCTCGGGCGAGTGGACTCCCCTTAAGATCTTAACTCTCACTTGATTTGGGGTTATATAACGGCACCACTTCTGCGGGTCATAAATCACATATAAAACTACATTTAGACTCCCGTTCCCTTGATAGATAGCACTTAAGGTATTAGGGGAAAAAAGGCTGTCCACCCACATACCTGAGCGTATGATAGGAAAAATAGCTGCTGTGGCGTGTATTGCGAAAAGTTTGGCAATAGTTTGATGTCGTTATAGATTTTGTTGAGGTTTTGGGTGACTATGCGATTGAATGCATTGAATGATGCCTTAAGACCGGCGATGTCGCCGATGTCCTCCT